CTCTCTCTCTTAAAAAAAATATCTAAAAGTGGAATGGCAAGATCATATAGTAGGATCAACTTTTAATTTAAGAGAAGGACAAATTATTCACCAAAGAGATTGCATCATTTAACATTCCCACAGTACATGAGTGATCTAGTCCCTCCACATCCTAAACAACATGGTCAGTTTTTTAAATTTTATTMATTCTAGTATATGTGTACTGACAGTTCTTTATGGTATTAATCTATGTTTTCCTAGTGACTAAAGATGTTGAGCATCAGTGCTGGGGTTGTGGCTCAATGGTAGAGCACCTGCCTAACATGTATAGGCATTGGGTTCAATCCTCAGCACTACATAAAAATAAATGAATAAAATAAAGGTACTGTGTCCATCTACAACTAAAAAATAATAATAATAAAAAAAGATGTTGAGCATCTTTTCATATGTTTGTGTTGTAGCTCCTTGGTGAAGTGTGTTCACATCTTTTGCCAAATTTTTTAAAAATTGGGTCTCTTTAATGGGTTTGATAAGTTTTTTAAATATATTCTGGATTCATCAGATATATTCTGCCAGTCTTTAATTTGTCCTCATTTTCATAATGCTATCTTTTAAAGATCAGATTTTTAATTTTTACAAAAGGGCAACTTACCAATTTCTTCTATGGATATTTTTGGTGTCACATCTAAGAAATAATTCCCAAACCAAATTTTTTCTTTTAGAAGTATGTTATTTGAGGCTTTATATTTAGATTTTTGATATATTTTGAGTTAATTATTATATAGGATTTGAAATGTGGTTCAAAGTTCATTCTATTTTATGTAGATATCTAACTGTTCTGGTACATTTTGTTGAAGACTGCTTTATGTGGTTTTCTCACTAAAAAATGCCTTTATACCTTGTTGATAATCAGTTATCCATATGTTTTTTGTCTTTTTGGGGGGAGGGGTCGTCTATTCAATTGACTGTTTTTTCTCTAAACATCAATACCACATTGTCTTAACTGTTGTACCTTTATAAATCATATATATCTCCAACTTCATTATTTTTCAAAGTTGCTTTGGCTATCTTAGATCCTTCACATTTCCATATAAGCTTTAGAATCAATTTCTATTTTTTTGAAAATAAGTTTTGAATGGGAATTTGAGAATTTAATGAGTCTATTGACTCCCTTGGGGATAACTAATATTTTACTAACATTCAGTCTACTAATTCATAAACAAAGAACATCTCACCTTTTATTGGTATCGTTAATTTCTTTCTACTATATTTGAAGTTTACAGTGCATTCATCTTTCACATCTCTTGTCATATTTATCCTCAAATTTTCATATTTTTATAGTATTACAAATGACATTCACTGTTTTTTGTTTCTAATTGTTACTACTGTACAGAAATGCAAATGATTTTTATACATGGAGCTTATATACTTCAACTATACTTAACTCATGTCTTTGTTCTTTTAGCTAAATCATATACTCTATAAATAATGGCAGTTTCACCTCTTCCTCTATTCTAGATGTCTCTCTGCCTGTTTTACTTACTCTGCCTAAAATCCTATATAAGGTTGAACAGAAGCATTAAGAACACATATCCTAATCTTGTTTCTAAACTTAGGAAGATAACAGCATTTAGTCTTTCACCAATAAATATAATGCCAGCTATTGGTTTTTCTTAGATATCTTTTATGAGGTTGAGGACACTTGACTTTTGGTGGTGGTGCAGGGGTGGGTGYTGTGCTAGGGACTAAACACAGGGTTTCATACAGGTTAAGCACATGTTCTACCACTGAGCAGTAGATCTAACCCAAAGGACACTAACTTCTATCCTCGGTTTGCTGAGATTACTTAATCAGCTTTGGATTCTGTCAAATGCTAGCTCTGTGTCTACTGAAATGATCTATGGCTTTTGTTTTATAATTTGTTAATAAAATGAATTATAATGATTATCGAATCATAAACCAACCTTGCATTCCTACAGTGAACGGTACTTGATTACCGCTATGATTTGAATATGATATGTCCTCTCCAAAACTCAAGTTGGAATTTGACTGTCATTGTGACAGTGCTGGGAGATGGGGCCTGTAAGAGGTAATGAAGTCATTAAGAGGGATTAATGCCTTTCTCATTGAAATGGATTCATTCTCCAGAGAGCAAGTCAATTCCTAGTGTTCTTGCCTCTTCAACACATGTCTCTTGTCCTTTCACTTTTCTGCCATGCTGTGGTGTAGCATGAGGTGCTCACCAGATACTGGCACCATGTTCTTGAACTCTCCAGCCTCCAGAATCATAAGCCAATGTAAACCTCTATTTTATATAAATCATCTAGTCTCAGGTATTTTTTTTATGTGTGTGTTGGGGGTGCTGGGAATGGAACCCAGGGGCAATTTACCACTGGGTTACATCCCCAGCCCTTTTAATCTTTGACACAGAATCTCATTAAACTGTCCAGCTGGCCTTAAACTTGCTATCCTTCTGCCACAGCCCCCTGAGCCACTGGGATTACAGGTCTGTGACTGTAATCCTGGCTCAGTCTCAGGTATTCTACTACAGCAATAGAAAACATTCTAAGGTAGCCATGATAAATTATACTTTTTATATATCACTGGATTTTATTTATTAAACTCAGTTTTAAATCTTTACATCTATATTCATGAATGATGTTGCACTGTAGTTTTCCTTGGTTTTGGTATCAAGATAATGCTCATTGGTTTTGGCGCATAGGTAAATCAGGGCCTTCATCTTAGCCAGAAGAAGTAAGTGTGCTACATAGTTATTATGTTATTACCTCATCTAATCATTCCTAGCCTAGGTAGTATTTGTCATTACTATCACATTACATATGGCAGAAAAGAGGAAAATAATAAAGACTGACAGCAAGGAAGAATAGTTCTTTCTAAACTGGAACTAGGATTTTAATCATGACAGCATGAATCTAAAATCTATTCTCTTAATCTCCTACTATACTATAATACTAAACTTGTACTCAAGAAGATTCTCTTTAAACACGTAGATTAATTTCTTTTTTATTGAGAAAAAAACATTTAGTCTCCAAAAGATCCAAGTACTCTGATCTGGAGCTCATGTCTTACTCTCTATAGTATTTATTAAAAAAAAAAAGTATAAAATGCCATGGTTTCTTACACTTTAAGTCAGGACCTATATAAACTATACTACTGAATATACTGAACTATTACTTAAGAAAGGATCTTATAAGGATATTCTATAGTCCCAAAAGACCAACCCAAACTATTATAATAGGTACTACCCTCTTACAGTTTTATCTGATGTTTAACCACATTGTGAAATATGAATTATCATAGATATTCTGCAGATGAGAAAATTTGAAAAGCAACATTAAGAAACTTGCTTAATATCCCTTAAATAGCATGGCAGATATTCAAACTCAGGTCTCTACAGCTCAAAAAAAGCTCCTTAAATACCATGTTTGTTTGTTTGTTTGTCAGATTCCAATATTTTCAACTCTAAGGAAAAAAAGAAGCACTGCCAAGGGCCTTTGGAAACAAAGAAATTTCATCATCAGATTCCAGCAGAGCTCAGGCCAAGTAAATTGGATCTGAGCTTTGATGATAATGTGGCAAGTAGACACTTTTCAACCTTTGACTGCTGTAAGCCTACTTTATTTCCTTTCTAAGGGAAGTTTTCCTACCATGAAACTAGCTGAGTGCTTTTTCTTTATTTCTGAATAGCTAAAGGTGGACATAGCTCAATTCACTTGGATCACTAGCTATTATATATGATGCAGAATTCCTCTTAAGAGTCAAATGGGAGGAAAAAGAGAAAGAATAGCAGCAATTCAAATTATTCTAGTCACAAAACAAGGTAGAATAGAGGAAAAAAAAAAAAAACCTGAATGCTTAAGAATATTCAAGGTCCAGATCCTACCTATTCTGCCTCATTTTAGCAGTGAAACCTTGGAAAAGTTTCAGACTCTATGGGCTTCCAAGTTTTGATCTATAAAATAGGGATGATAATTTTACCTCTCACATACTTAAGAAGTAAAAGAGAGAATACACAAAATGTGTTTAGAATAGCACCTGACACTTGATAAGCACTTTTTAAAATTATTCTATCAGTATTATATTATTCCTATAATTATGGACAGAAAAAAATTACATGTTATTTAGAGATTGTTTGTATTTGCAAATAACTTGTTTCTAATGCCTGTATATTGAAAACATCATTCTGTAATTCTGACAGGTCAATATTAGTGTCCTAAAAATGACATTGGAAATTGATTTCTAGTATCTTCTATAAATAGGCAAACAACTTTGAAAACAAACAGAAATAACCAKAAGAGCTGGGCGCAGTGGCACATGCCTGTAATCCCAAGCAGCTTGATAGGCTAAAGCAGGAGGATTCGCAAGTTCAAAGCCAGCCTCAGCAATAGTGAGGAGCTAAGCCAACTCAGTGAGACCCTGTCTCTAAATAAACTACAAAATATGACTGGGGGTGTGGCTCAGTGGTTGAGTATATCTGAGTTCAATCACTGGTACAAAAGAAAAGAAATAACCAGACATAAATTATTAAGATAAGGCAAATTATTCAGTTCCATTATGTAGTATTAATTACCCACTATGTGCTCAGCATTATATAATGTTCTATAGAATACACACAAGATCTAAACCCAACTCTCAATATGCTTAAATTATCAGGGAACAAAAATACATACTTAGAATAGATAAGGCAAAATATAAGCAAATTCTAGTGAATAACCAGTAACTCTGGATGGAAGAAGTCCTCAAATAAAAAATTCCATGTGTATATTTAATGCCATTCTTTTTTAAATTTTTTATTCTAATTTGTTATATATGACAGCAGAATGCATTCAATTCATATTACACATACAGAGTACAATTTTTCATATCTCTGGATATATACAACATATATGCTTAATATTAGTTTCAAAAGCAAATGCAAATGACTGGTATATTACAATAGTATAAATTATTAATAAATTAAACAAAAAAGGATTATTTAATGAATTTCCACCATAACTTACTGTGGCTATTTTGGTACTGAGAAAGTTCTCCCTTTCTTCATCTACGTGAATTTCATGTCCAGTTTTAAATAATTCAAGCATTTTAGGGATGTCACGGCCAATGGAATCTGGTTAGAAAAATAAAAAATCCCAAATTATCACTACATCTAAAACCATAGCAAAAATTACTGAATGTGATAACCATATATTCCATGTGAAGATACAGTAAATAAATTGTGGCAGACAGACTTTAGAGTGGCCCTTGTGGTCACAATTTCCTGTGCTCATGCTCTTGAGTGATTTCCTCCCACTGTGTGTGGATGAAGCCTGCAGCTTCCTTCTCAGGTTATAATGTCACTTACTAAAGAAAAGAACAAAATCAAGGTAAAAACTGATAATGTTCAAAGTATACAGAAGATTCAAAAAATAAACTATATAACCACTATGATTTAGTCATTATCATTTTAACTCAGAGTTAACACACAAAATGCATTTATATTTCAGTATACTGAAATACTAATATATGCATAAAAGTGTTTCTTTTTCTCTGCATCTTTTCCAGCCTTTATTATTATTTGTGTTCTTGATGACTGCTATTTTGACGGTTGTGAAATGAAATCTCAGTGTAGCTTTGATTTGAATTTCCCTAATTGCTAATGTTGCTGAACATTTTTTATGTATTTATTGGCCATTTATATTTTTTTCTTGAGAAGGATCTGTTTAATTCATTTACCCRTTTATGAATTGGGTTATTTGACTTCTTGGTTTAAAGTTTTTTGAGCTCTTTATACATTCTAGATATTAATCTTTTGTCACAAAAGTGCTAGCAAAGATTTTCTCCTGAAGCAGGAAATTTTATGGTAAGTTTTTAAACTAAGAAGGATTATCCAGGAAAGCAGGAAAAATGAACAGCGTAGAAGGAGAAACAGTGTCCTCTTATAGGTGAGTGAAAGTGGAATCCATTGCACAAATGACCAGAGGTGGCAGTTAGTAGAAGCATAGAGAATTCATTTGAAGTGACAGGAAGGAAGGCAGTGTTGTGGGTATATTCAAGTATCACTGAATGATTCTTGAGTTCTTGTACTAAGTACAAGCCTGGTTCCTATGAAAAAATAACTTTAAAAGCATAGGTGTATGTTAAATATGAAGACGTCTAAATAGACATAGTTTAACCATGTGTTTCTTTTTTGTATACCATTATTAACATCTTACTGTTTATTGTTAAACTATGTCATACTGTTTAGTACTCAGTTACATCAGAATGTAATGAATATCTTTTCAGTATTTGTTCCATCTCTGTGTCCCTTATCTCTCAATTAGATTGTAAGCTCCTTGTGGGTAGTTGCTTTTCTTCATGCTGAAGGGCTCTTGAACCATCCTGAACAACTTCTGAGATAATACTTGGGAGTAATGTATRGTGAAGGTATGTTTGCTCTTCATGTAATCAGATCCTCACATTTACTCATGAAGGGAACATTTGGCTTGAGGCACCATGGAAGTTTTGTCCCTCTCCTTCTCTCTTTTTAAAATTGCAGTGCTGGGGATTGAACCCAGYRGCACTCTACCACTGAGCTACATCCCCATCCCTTTTCAAATGTTATTTTAAGACAGTGTATTACTGAGTTGCTACCTTCAACTTGCTGTCCCTCTTGCCTCAGCCTCCCAAGTTACCATGTCCAGCATTGGGAAGTAGTGTGTCTTTAGTGGCACATTGCTCACTATATTTCTTACCCTTCAAATTTTTCACATTTTCTACACGTTTTAAATTATATTGTGTACATATACAAATATTTTTTTAAAAATTTTTTAATCTTTATTTATTTATTTATTTTTAGTTTTCGGCRGRCACAACATCTTTGTATGTGGTGCTGAGGATCGAACCCGGGCCGCACGCATGCCAGGCAAGCATGCTACCGCTTGAGCCACATCCCCAATCCCCACATACAAATATTTTAACAACAAATCCCATCAATCTATATAACTATAAAGCACCAATTAAAAAATGTGAAAAAAAAGGAAAATTGCCCATTTCAATACAAAATAAACTAGCCTCCTATGACTTTATATTGCTTTCCAGTTACTATCTAATACTCTTCTTAAGTGCATTAAGGTCTCATAAAAGTTGTTCATGACCTTTTCTCCATTTCCTTTTATGCGTATTCTATCAGGTTATCCTTCCCAGCATTCCACCAAGAATAATATTGTGAAAGTCACCAATGACTTTCAAATGGGAAAATCCATTAGCCATTTCTCAGTGTTCATATGACTTGACCTATCAACAGCAGGTCACAGAATATCTTTCCTCTTTCTGTAACACCTTGATTTCTCTTCAAACACACATATTCACTAGCTGGCCCATTGCTTTTTATCAACTTAGCCACCTTCATTTAGCTGACTTCTTCCAACATTACTATCTCTGGGCTCAGTCACCTGACCTATTATTTTATACTTGCACACCCACCTACGTGATCTCATCCAGACATCTGGCTTTAAATACCAGTTAGTCATTCCTAATCACAAATTTACATCTCCAGCTAYATCACTCATGATTTCCAACCACCTGTTTGATATCCCCATGTAGATGCAGACAGTTAATTAGTGAGGYATAAATATGACAAACATTTGCCAGAGAAATGAATAAATGACTTCATAATTTTGAGTTTAATATTATAGTGATAATGTATGGTAATTAAGTAGGAAAGAACAGGGTTTAAGAAATAAAGAATGTTTACTTTCATGGCACATATATTAAAACTGGAACAATACAGAAAAAGATTAGCATGGCCCTTGATCAAGGATAACAGGCAAATTTGTGAAGCATTCTGTATTTTGTGTTCTGTATTCTCCTAGAAAATGTTCTAGAATTTCTTGAACCTGGTTCAAAGTGAGTGCAACATCAACCCAAAGACAACCTTAAACTAGGCTTTAAGCCTTCAGTCTTTCTTCTAGTTAAGATCGTTGATAAACAAGACATGTCCAAAGTGAATAAGTTTGACAAATCAAAACTGAATAAAACTAATACTGAAGGGAAAACAAATATATGCTTCTCTCAAAGAAAAYTATCCAGCAGGAGAAATAATGTTCCCAAACATTGGGGTTTCTTCCCAAGAGTAAATTTCAACACTGCCTGAGAGCCTTGGCTAATTTTTATAAACCTGTGTGTTTGTATAAATTTTAGGTACCTATGGCTTCTCATCTGTACTCCCTGGCTAAGAGGTCAAGAGTAGTCAATGTTCACTTAAATCTATATTTTAAACTTCCTATTTGTACATAAATTCCAGATGGTAGATGCTGTCATATAATCTCACCACTGATGACCTTTGTATGTGTGGTCCTTGCGCCCCCTACAGGGCAAGCCAATTATAACTTAGAAGAGGTGTTTTCCACTGCTTCTTCACCTTCCTGAAGGTGCATACCTTTACAGCTTCTCACAGTGTACCTTCATTTCTAATGTACCAATAAAATAATATTTTAAAAAGACAAAGTTCTAGAATTTCTTGGCTTTTCCCTTAAATTTGGTTTATTTTCCATTTTAGATTTTTTTGTTTGATATGAAGAAAGGGACATCTGGCATATAAGCACCATTCCTTGAAATTTTTATCATTTTTCCATATAATTTTGGCACTTTTGATGAAAAGAAGTTGACCAATGTTTGATCCACATTCATCTATCATTAATGCCATACAACGCTGTTCTGATTACAATAGTGCTATGCAGTGAAGTCTTTTGTTAAAGTTTTTTTTTAATTGTCAGTTGGCTTTCTGGCTGAGGTTACATTGAGTCTAGAAAAAGTTGGAAATAACTCCATKTTAACAATATTATGCCTTTAAATCTATAGCTATAGTGTATGTCTCCATTTACTCAGGTATTCTTCAAACTTTCAACAACTTTTAGCAGTTTTCTGTGACTAGCTCTTACACAACTTTTGCTCAACTTAGTCCTACATATTTTGTTTATCCTCATGTGAAACTGTTTTATAAATCTCATCTTGTCTGTTAGTAGTCTATAGAAATGAGGTCGATTGTTGTTGCTGGATCTTGGCATAATATACCTCTAAATGTACTTATTAGAAATCACAAGAATACCTTAAGATATCATCTGGAAATACAGATTTCTTCTTTTMCCAGTATATGCCCTTTACTTCACTAACCTCCAGTACAATGTTAAATGTAGGTGGTGAGAGCAAAGATCTTTGTCTTGATAGTTATTTCAGGTAGAAAGCCTTCCATCTTAAGAGTCTCACCATTAAGAATGTTGTTTTTGCATAGTTATGTTTTGTCAACTTGAGGAAATCCATTTCTATTTCTAGTATTTTCAGCATTCTTACCATAAACACATGTTGGAGCTGGGTATGGTGGCACACGCCTGTAATCCCAGCAACTCAGGAAGCTGAGACAGGAGGATCACAAATTCAAGTCAGCCTCAGCACCTTAGCAAGGCTCTAAGCAACTCAGCAAGACCCTGTCTCAAAAAATAAAAGGTCTGGGACATAGTTCAATCCCATAGTTCAATCCAACATACATACGTTTATTTATTTACTAGTACTTCTCTGCATCTAATCCTCTTTTATTCTATTAACACAGTATATTATACTGATGTTTGGATATAAAATCAATTTATTCCTAAAATAAATCTCCTTGGTTGAGATATATGAACCCTTATGTTTATATTGCTGGATTCAATTTGCTAATCCTTTGTTAAGGATTTTTGTTGTTGCTTCTATGCTCATGAGAAATAATGGTCAGCAGTTTTCTTATGAAGTCCTTGTCTGGCTTTGATATCAGGGTAGAGCTCAGCACATAAAATAAGTTGGTAAATGGTCTTTTTTCATTATTTTCTAAAAGGGGTTGTAAGCTGGTTACATTGGCACATGCCTGTCCCACTCCCATTCCCCCCACTGCCCACTTGGGGTCCTTCCCTGAGCTTGCTCCCTCCTTCCCTCCCTCCCTCTCTCCTCCTCTCCTCCCTTATTCCCTCCCTCTGTGCCCAACTGCTCAAAAATTTAAAAAAATAATGATAATAATAAAAAGAAAAATATTAAAATCTCCAACTGGACTTAATTACTATATTTCTCCTTTCAATATTGTCCAGTTGTGTTTCATATCTTCTAGGGCTCTTTTTAGATGAG